TTTTTTCTGTGAATATCAAAAAAATTGTATTCGTTGGATCAAAAAGCTTGACAATTTAATACAAGGTTTCACGTGAATAGTTAATTCTGTAACCAAAAAATATATAAACACAGTTTTTTTTTGTAAAGTTATTTTTAAGTTCAAATTTGGACGAATTTACCAACATATTTAAACAACCTAAAATAATAACGATTTTAGGTATATGGAATTATGGTAGTAATTTAAAAATATTGTTCGTGAGTAGGTACTTGAAACTTCTAAAGAAAACTATTATAATATACAAATTACAAATATGATAATATGCAAATAATTTAATTCAACCTACCGGCTACATTAGTAATAGTAATTACAATAGTAATAGACAATAGTAACAATATAAATATAATATAACATAATAGGTATCACAAGATGATAGTCTCCGCTTAGAATCRTTTTTTATTTCGTTTTCACACATAATATACATCTGCAGAGACGTAATTATAGTGAAGTTATAGGATCCCCCGGAACTCTTTTTTAAAATGTTTAATGCATTGATTTATATTTGATATAAGAATATTTTATTATAAAATTACCTATATCATGTTATAACTTTATAAGTTATACATCCCCCCCCCCAGAACAAAATCATAACTATACGCCACTGCAGGGCACCAGTACCTACTATAACATGGCRCAAGTTCCAAAAACTGACTAAGATTAAAATATAAGTCAGTAGTTATTAAGTAGTATGTACTAATAGTTGTATATAAATATATTAACGTTTATACGTAAATATATATGAATAGTAAGTACTAAATACTCATGTGAAATTAATAACAATCGACTAGTTAGTAGGTACCTATATATAGTTTGTCGTTTGAAATTACGAATGTTGTTTTAACAAATAAGAATGCCGATTGCTTATTTACGTGTAATATATTTCTATAATACAATTCATTTTGATTTTGATATTTTAGTTAAATATAAACAAATAAAAATAGGTATCTTGTTTTTATATTACACACTAACTACCCCCGTGCACTTCGTTGCCCGTTAAAAATACTAATTCTATGTGATTCATTCGTCGTTTAATACCCGACGTAACTACAGTTGTGTTCAAAACTTCCCGTGATAAATTCCCGTGAGTTTACTCTATCTTAATCTCCATTAATGATTTTTAAACAGTCATATAAAATACAGACCTAAAATTACATTCATTCATAATATTTTTTCGTGGTTTTAGCTTTGTTAAGGTGAAACAATTTTTAGAATTGGTACCTGATAACAGATTGATAATTTCTTATTCATCCATAATAAATTGTTTAGCCAATATAGCAATGCTATAATAAACAAAAATGTTATCAATTATTAATATATGAGTCTATTCTCAGGTAATTTCAATCAATTTAAAAAAAATGTATTTT